CTGTCACACCTTGTTTCTCACTATTCTCGTGATTCTTGCTTTACTCTTTGCCACAGGATTGGCTGAGGCCGCCCCGGCCGGCTGGAAATGTGGTGAGAGGTTTCTGTTAGCACTCACCTTCCTTTTGTGGATAGGATACGTCATTGGTACCAATGAAACAATGGGGAAACAATGGCTGTAAGAGACTAGAAAAGTAGATCCCCACAAACCTTGTAGTAAACCAAAATACTCCCGTCTTACAACCAGGGTTTGGCTTCTCAAAAGCTCAATTATTGGGAAAGACTGTCTTGCTTAATGGGGAAAAAGTTCATCGTTGTCTCTGTTAAAAACTTAACATGCCTAGGCCAAAGATTCTGTAACTCAACTGCCCAAAAAACCCAGTGATGGGGGACCCAAGATCACCTTGAGCCAGATCCCCACCCCTTATCTAACCTCTCTCAACTCCAAGAGGCCTGAGACAGTGTCAACGCGGCCATCAAATGGCGGGTCCCAGGTGGATTATACTAGACACGTGGAAGGACAGCCTACATAGTACTTCTCTCAGTCTGGTCAGGGTCATGTGTGCTGGAAACTATTCATCCATCTTTCTTCCTGCTCCCACTTGCCAGGGGGAAACATTTGGGAGTCCAAGTGTATGGGGACAGGGAGACTCCAAGGAAGCAGCGTGCCTTACAAATTGGCAGTTAAAAAGAAGATAAATGGCTCCAGAGCGTATAATCCGGTATTACGGCCCTGCCGCCTGGGCAGAGGATGCGTCCTGGGGCTACTGCACTCCCATTTACATGCCAAACTGCATCATCAGACTGCAAGCAGTTGTAGAAATTATAACCAATAAAACTGCCAGAGCTCTTAACTTACTGGCCAAGCAGCAAACGAAAATGCTCAATGCCATCTATCAAAATCGCTTGGCCTTAGATTACCTGCTTGCTTCAGAGGGAGGTGTTTGCGGAGGATTTTACCCGTGCAACTGCTGCCTACAGATAGATGATGAGGGAGGAGTCATAGAGGAGATCACAGATCAAATAAAAAAGGTTGCTCACGTCCAGTCCAGACCTGGAACTGTTGGAACCCTGGGGAGTTATTTGGAGGATGGTTTTCAACTCATGGGGGATTCAAAACCCTCATAGGAATTATCCTCTCATTTTGGGAGGGTGCTTAATCTTCCCCTGCTTAGCTCCCTTGGTTGTACGGTCTGTCTCCAGTCTCAATGAGGCCATGATTTAAAAAGGACGGGGGCACCCGGGTGGCTCAGTCGGTTAAGCGTCCCACTTCGCTCAGCTCATGATCTCGCAGTCCGTGGGTTTGAGCCCGGCATCGGGCTCTGTGCTGACAGCTCAGAGCCTGGAGTTCACTAGTGTCAGATTCTGTGTCTCTCTCTCTCTGTCTGCCCCTCCTCTACTCATGCTCTGTCTCTCTCTCTCGCTTTCAAAAATAAATAAACATTAAAAAAATTTTTTTAAATAAAATAAAAAGGACGGCCACTCATGTAATAATGTTATAAAAATATAAACCTCTAAACCAAGTTGATGGTCTTAGACCCAAAATACAGGGGTCCGAGCATCAAAGGGGGGAATGTGGTAAGGTCCCCTCCATAAGGAGAGGAAAAAAAAGAAGAGAGAAAAGAAAAACAAAACACAACAGAAAACTTCAAGGTAACCTGGTTATGTGCCTATGTGACAACATCCCTCATGACCTTGTAAACTGAGACTACTGAATCAGACTACCTGTTTGTGTGTGTTACCATATATGGGAGACAAAACAATAAAAAATGTATGAAAAACTATGCCACGGGACATTTGGGGCTCAGTTCTTCGGATACGAACCCAACTGAATGGTGCCGGCAGGAATAAAGTTGCTTCCTGGAAAGAAAAGCCTCCGTGTCACAACTTTCTGTGGGAGAATCCTGGTACAATGCTATTTTGACCTTTAAGAACAGAACAGAGAAGGCGAAGGAACAGTTGGTTAGGGAACCTAGAGAAGAAAAGTGTTTCAAGAAGGTCAAAGTTGGGGCACCTGGGTGGCTCAGCTGGTTAAGCGTCCGATTTCGACTTCAGGTTGTGATCTCATGGTTCATGAGTTCGAGCCACCCTCACATCAGGCTCCACACGGATATTGTGGAGCAGTCTTGGGATTCTCTCTCTCTCCCTCTTTCGATGCCCCTCCCACCTCTCAAAATAAATAAATAAACTTAAAAAAGAAAGAAAGAAAGAAAAAAAGAAACAACAGAGTTGAGCAAAAGACTAAGGAAAATGAGGAACTGACCCAAATCGGTGATAACCTCATCTCCAAGATGGAGAAGATCTGATGAGGAGGCCCCTTGCCAGCATCCCTGCCCCCTGTCTATCTGTCTGTGCGTCTGTGGAAGGTTTCGTGTTCTTTCTTTTTGCTTAACCTCAGCTCGTTTTTAAACTTGATTGCTTTAATAAAAAGACTAAAAAGAGTTTCCCTTCAGTTCAAAAAAAAAAAAAAAAGGCTGTGGAACTTGCTTGGGATTCTCTCTCTGGCTAGTTAGCTCAGCATGTAGAGCATGCGACTCTTGATGTCGAGGTCCTGGGTTCAGGCCCCACATTGGGCATGGAGCCTACTTAAAACAACAACAATAATAATAACAGGACAGAATTGTCAAACGAGTCAAATGATACTTAAAACACTAAGGTGAGGCCGTAGAAACAAACATCAGATTTGGCAAAAAAGGAGGCTATTAATGACCTTACCGGTGCAGTTTTATTTGTGTTTATTTTTATTTATTTATTTTAACATTTATTCATTTTTGAGAGATGGAGAGAGACAGAGCATGAGTGAGGCAGGGGCAGAGAGAGAGGGAGACACAGAATCCAAAGCAGCCTCCAGGCTCTGAGCTGTCAGCACAGAGCCCGATGTGGGACTCAAACCCACAGACGTCGAGATCATGACCCGAGCCGAAGTTGGATGCTCAACCGACTGAGCCACCCAGGCACCCCATCAGTGCAGTTTTAGAGGTAAGAGGGAGATATACGTTAGATTGAGTGAATGAGGAAAGACAACTGAGAGTATTTTTTTAAAGGTTTGCTATGCACTGGAGCAGGGAAGTGTGGTCATAGCCAGATGGGGCTATGAGGTCAAAGAAGTTTTTTTAATGGAAGGTGTTATACTGAGAGAGTGTTTGTAGGCTGATTTAAATGGGAGAAATGACCCAGGGATGGAAAAATCTAAGGATTCAGAAGGAGGCGGAGGGAATATTTTTAGAAGTGAGGCCCTCCTAAGGGCAAAAGGGGGTGGGACCTTGGTCCACATAGAAGGCACATTGTGTATTGGGAGCGTGGGCACACAGCTGGAAATTGGTAGGTGTGGTTGTTGGTATGATGATAGAGGGGTTCCTGCCTGATGGTTCTTGCTTTCTCCACGAAGCCATGTGGTGAAGGTAAGCTGGGAGGTCTGAGTGGAGAAAAGGAGTGGGAAATAAGTGTGTTAGAATGTGGAAAGTAAACACACTGGGGAAAGTTGCCACACAGTGTTGAGTCGCCCATCTGAGACCCATGGTGAGAATTTCAAGGGAGGCCACTGACTAAACGGTGTGTTCATCTCCCGCAGTGTTCAGGCAAGGGTTGGAGTAGAAAATAGTACAGGGTCAGGGTGTTGCCAAGCAAAAACAGCGGAAGGGGGGCAAGGGATAGAGGTATTTGCAAGGGAGCAATCACAATAACGAACAGAGGATCCGAGATGAGTAAAGAGGAAGTGAGGACGTGAGGGCAGATGGTTAGCATATGAGTCATAGGTTTCGGTAAGGTTCAAGATATACTGGACTGCATGCTCTAGCCTAAGCAAGACGGAGGATAGGCGATAAGGATCAAAATATCAAGTCAGAATTCTGGAAATAGGGAGTTTGGAGGCGGTGCAGTTATTGGTGATGAAATGGTAAAGGGCATGACCGTGCACGTAGGTGGCTGAAGCAAAATAATACGACATTGCATTTGCGGAAGTGAGGAGCTGAGATCCCAAGGATGGTTGATGCCGCTGGGCAGAACCCAAACTGTGGCACAATTTAGAATTTATGCATTAGGAAAATCTTATGAGAGTACTCTGGCTTACAGTGTAAATAAAAATAGGTTTCTGAATAATGGCTTGTATTCTGCCTTGTTTAGACACAAATTTAAATGGTGTGAACCATTTAAACCAATGGTGAGGTAGGACAGTTATACACCATGAGGGATTTGGGGTGGGGAGGATAGGTGGTCTGGGTTTCTAAGGATTCATAATGGTTGGTACAGCCCGCTGGAGGAAGAACACTGAAAAATCATGGCCCATCAAGCAAGGTCTTGGCTCAAGTTGTTTTGCTTACAAATTGCATAACTTTCTTGTTCCTTTGCTGGGCAAGCTCTGCACACATGTTTGCCATCTGGTTAAAGAATCAGCCCTTACAATGACGTTATTAAACACAAATGTACACAATGGTGGCCATGGCAACGGCAGGCAGGGCACCTGTGGAGTTAGATGTTCTCAAATTTAGTTTCCTCAACAGCTTACCTGAAGAGGGGCACGAAGACGTTAGGAAAGATGCTATTTTCCCGTGCACATTCACGGGGGCAAAAAAGTCGAGGGGCGCCGAGGTGGCTCAGGCGGTTAAGTGTGGAACTTCAACTCAGGTCATGGTCCCGCAGTTCCGAAGTTCGAGCCCCACATCAGGCTCTGTGCTGACAGCTCGGAGCCTGGGGCCTGCTTCGGATTCTGTGTCTCCCTGTCTCTCCTCTGCCCCTCCCCTGCTCGCGTGCTCTCTCTCTCAAAGATAAACAAACATTAAATTAAATAAATAAATAAACAAACAAACAAATAAATAAAAGTCGAGCCAGAGTGTGTTCATGTTTGGTGCGAACCTAATTGTCCTCCTGGCAGGCACACTAATAGACACCCAAGATGCTCTGCTCTCTTTGGCCCTAGCTGATTTCTGTAACCGTGTCAAGACGTCATGGACAACCAACTGAGGCTATGAGGATCCGTGAAACTTGTCGCAGCCCTCAGGTTCCCTATTTAAAACGGGAGTGATGTTCAATGCATTCCTGGTCAGGAGGCAGGGCAGATTCCGAACGAATCAAACCTTGGCTGTCCTATCAGTCAGGGTCCAGTCAAGAACACAGAAACCAGTTAACAGAGAAAATTTATTACAAGGGTGGCAAAAGCCGAAGGGAAATGCCAAGAAAACACAGGTGGCCACGGAAAGAAGCTCCTGGACGGGTAGCGGTTAACAAAGGGCTAAGAGTTACAAGTTTACTAGAACCCGGAAGCTTAGAGGAGGAGCCTGGGAGAGGTGGAACTCAGACCGCGGAGGAAGGAGTGCTGGAGCGTTGGTGGTGGTATCTTTAAGGGGCACAATGGAGACTAGTTGTAGGGAGGGTTCAAGCTGGAAACTCGAACCTAGCGCGGCGCCTGAGGCGGCCGGGAACTGGGTAGGGGGGAAGGGTAGCGGGGCCGGGGGTGGGGAGAGCTGTTGCCACCACGACACTCTGGCGTGGGTCGCAAGTCCATTCCCGCTTCCCCCGCCCACTTTGCAGGTTTCCTCTAGCACCCCCTGTTGGCGGACTTTAACAAGGAGCCAGCTGGCAAAGAGAACTGAGCTGCGAGGAGGCCAGTCCCGGCGGCTACGGGAAACGAGTACAGGTTTCTAGTTTGGGGCTCTTACACATAATGCTGTTACGAGCATTCTTGTGTACTCGTATTTTGGGTGTGTATACCAAGGAGTGTTCTTGCTGGATTTAATAGATACAGATAATAACTGTTCTGGTGATTGTGAATTGTGATTTCAATATGCGTATTTCTTTTTCTCCGGGCCCCCCCCGGCCCGGCGGGGGGAGACGGGTTTGATTCAGGACCCGTGGGCAGAAAGAGCTGCTTCAATTTGCATGTTTCTAATTACTATTGAAGTTGGCCATCTTTGACCATTGGGATATCCTCCCTAATTAGAAAGTATCTTCGTGGGGCGCCTGCCTGGCTGGGTCCGAGGAGCCCACGACTCTTGATGTCTGGGGTCCTGGGTTGCAACCCCACAGTGGGGTGTAGAGATTAGTTACATAAATAAAACTTTTAAAAAGGTTCCTCATTGGGAGGCCTGGCTGGCTCAGTTGGTGGAATATGGGACTGTTGATTTTGAGGTTGCAAGTTGAAGCCCCACTTTTTTTTTTTTTTTTTTTTAAGGTGCATCGTGAAGTCTCTAGCCTATTTACAGTTGGATGGTCCGGCTTTTTCTTATTGCTCTGTGGGGATTTTTAATATGTTCTTGATGAAATTTGAAGTGGGGTTCGTGAGCAAACGGCTAAGATAGAATTCTTGAGATGTCTTTAGGGCAAAAAGGTGATTTTATTAAAGCACGGGGACAGGACCCATGGGCAGAAATAGCTGCCCTGGGGTTGTGAGGAGGGACTGATTATGTAGTTTTAGGTTTGGGAGGGGGGTAGAGATAAAGTTAGTTTCCAAGGAATTTCTGGACGCTGAAAGCAGGGTCTCACAGGACCCTGAAGATTTAGCTATTGTCAAGATAAGGTTGCTTTTAGTTTTTTAAGAGAGTGTAAACATTAAGGTATTAAGGCAGCCATACACGTCTTGGGAAGTATTACACACTGCATGCAGGTCTCTGATATCTATCAGTGGGCTCCAGGCTGTAAGGGAATTTAATTTCAACTACGTTTTTCTTGACTTTGTTTCTCTCACCATTGGTATAAACCCTTTTGATTATATGCATTGCAAATATCCGCTCCCAGTCTGTGAACTTGTCTTTTTCATTCTCTGAACTGGTGTCTTGTGATGAATAGATGTTCTTAAGTTTATGTGGTACAACTTTACATTTTTTCCTTTAGGGTTAGGCTGTTTTTTCTTTAAACAGTATCTCCTTATTCCAGATCCATGAATATAGTCTCCAAAGTCTTCTTTTTCTGTTTTTCATCTCTTTTCTTTGTCTGTATGTCCTGAATTATGAGTAGTTTCTTCACATGTATTTTCTAATTTACTTGTTCTGTTTTCAGCAGTTTCTAATCATCTGCTGGGTTTCTAATTAAAATATTGTATTTTTAAAAAAATAAAATAAAATATTATATTTTTAATTGCAACAAATTATGATTTTCCCCAATTTTGCCTGTTCATTTTTAGTTTGTTGTTCCTGGATTGTCTTTTCAAAATACTCGTTATTTCTTTAAACACAGGAAGCATGTCTAATGGGTATGATGTACCTAAACATTACAGTATCTTCAGTCATTGCAAATGTGATTCTACAGTTCAGTGTTTCTGCCATCATTGGCTTATGGGGGCTTATGCTTCTTTCAGATGTTTATAACTGCTATGTGCCCAAGTTTGTTAGAATTTTATTCATGGGAATCCTTCGAAGGCTAGACTTAAAGGATATTCTTCTACAGAGGAATTGTACTTGCTTGTGCCTAGAAACACTCCTAAATTGAGACTCATGAAAATTTTTGGCATTTTTTGCCCCCAAGGTTTGAGGGCTTAGAAATCTCTGGGAAGGGGTGCCTGGGTGGCTCAGTCAGTTGAGCGGGCAACTCTTGATTTTGGCCCAGGTCATGATCTCACCACTCGTAGGTTCGAGCCCCACCTCGAGCTCTGAGATGACAGTGAAGAGCCTGCTTGGGATTCTCTCCTTCTCTCTGTCTCTCCCTCTGTTCCTCCCCCACTCGCTTGTGCACACCTTTCTCTCTCAAAAATAAATTAATGAACGTAAAAAAAAAAAAGAAATTTCTGGGAAGCTCCTCCCCCCCTCACTCCCACCACCCCAGCCAAGGTCTATTTGGGCAAGTATGGTCAACTCTCTTTTACATACTTGAGGGTATTGCATTTCGGCAACCCCAGCTTTGCGACAGGATCTCTGACTCAACTTCCCATTTTGTATAGGCCCCAGGCTTTGTCTCTTGTATCCAAATTTGGCCTATTAAAACCCTGGCTCGGGGCACCAACGATCGGCAGATACTGCCAAGGCAGTTTTGGCCTCAGTGCTGGCTTACCAGTGTTGGTTTTATGGTTTCTTATCCCTTCTCTTATTCTTGTCCCCTACTTTTCTGTTGGCCCAAAAGTACATTTAAAAATATATTTTCAATATTTGATCCATCATTTTGAGTGTTCTGTACCAGGAAGATTTCTCCACATATCAGGTCCACCATATTGTCAGAAATGGAAGTCCACCGAGTTTTCTTAGAAGACATGTCCCTCATGCAGGAGTCCTATATAAAGCAGGTAATTTCTAGTTCACAGTCAAGTATGTTTTATAAACCCAAGTATTCTGTTTTCTGCTCTGTTTCTTCGTGTTTGTTTAGAGTGTCTCTGGAGAAACAGAGTTGCGTAGTTGCCGTAAAGGGAGCACAGGTAAAGGGAGCACAGATTGAACGAAACCTGTGAGGAATTATTGCCCCGGGTAATGAGACGATCATCCAGGACCACATCGAGTTGGGATAAAATAAAGGCTATGGGAGAACTGATCGGTCCCTTTTGATACACTTCTATCAAGATCCGAGTCACTTCGGGGCCCCTGAGTGGCTCAGTTGGTTAAGCGTCTGACTTTGGCTCAGGTCATGATCTCACAGTTTGTGGGTGCAAGCCCCCGCACCAGGCTGTCCGCTTTCAGCATGGAGCCTGCTTCAGATCCTCTGTCCCCCTCTCTCTGCCCCTCCCCCATCGTCTCTCTCTCTCTCAAAAAAAACCCAAAAAACAAAACAAAAAAAGAACACCTTAAAGAAAAAAACATCAGAGTCACTTTCTTCCATAATTTTGCAATTTGGGAACAGGTAGGAGTTGTTTCAAAATAGGTGATTTCCCTGGCTTAGGATATAAACTTAAGTGGAAAAGATTCTGGTAAAGTCAGAGGGGATATTTCAACATAGATGTTTTGTCAATTTGGGGGCGGCTTTTTGATAGTTCCACTTCTGACTTAATCATGACAAAGATCATCCTTGTAATACCGTAAGGAAAAAATGTCCTCCAGTAAAGGGTGTGGGACAGGAAGCACCACCAATTTCTGTGTCATCTTTAGCTGAAAATAACACTTTTCTTCTTAAAAGGGCTTGAGGAGGATGGACATATGATGATTGACTTTGGATTTTTACTGTTTCTGGGAAGCTGTGGAAGGCTCTGGCTTCTTTTAATATTCATGAGACCAGTCCCTTTCGCTTCTAGTTTTTTTTTTTTTTAATGTTTATTTATAAATGAGAGAGAGAGAGAGAGAGAGAGAGTGTGTGTGTGTGTGTGTGCGCGCGCGCGCGTGTGCATGAGCAGGGGAGGGGCAGAGAGAGCCGGAGACAGAATCTGAAGCAGGCTCCAGGCTCTGAGCTGTCAGCACAGAACTCAATGCTGGTGGGACTCGAACTCACCAGCCGTGAGGTCATGACCTGAGCTGAAGTTGGATGCTTAACTGAGCCACCCAGGGGCCCCTACCCATTCTAGTTCTTAAATAAGCACAGCGTTAGTAACACACCCACCGCTTCACTGGTGGTGTTTCTAACAGCTGGTTTCTTGGAATGATTTGCAATATCAAGATCTCTTCTACAACGTGACACTGCCTTTCAAAAAGGGCTCTCCAGTCGTACTCCTCCCTCAACTCCTCTCCCCGCCCCACACGCCCCTGGCTAGCACATAACAGGAACTCCGTGAAAATTTGCTGACCCTGGGTCCCGTATGTACCCCGTCTGGGATTTCAAATACAGCCTAGGATTTCATAATTTTTTAGTAACACCATTGTATCCCCCACCTGAGTTCTCCCTTTTAAAGGCACAAGTCGATATTCATTTTATAGTAACGTATGGGGCGCCTGCCCGTTCGGGTCAGTGGCGTGTTCTTGTGACGCAGCTCCCCAAAGCACAAAGGGTGTGCCCTGCTCTGCCTTTATGTCCAGGGAACTAATGGTGGTGGCACATTGTTGCCAAGATAGGTGAGACTGGTCAAGGGGAGGCTCACTTCCTTGGCCAGATGGTGGAGTACTAGAACTGTGTTAGAGCGGCACGTTCAACCAGCCTTGCCCGTGGAGGAGGAGGAATTTTGCTGACTGGCACATCACACATCTGGCAGCCCTCCCAGCATCAGGGCCAATGGCTTCTTGCGATGAGATGTGTGTGGCCCTTCCCAGCAGGCTTGGCACATGCCCACACTTCAGCGGTTATAACTGAGCTTTGCATCAACTTCTGATTTATGCTGCTGTACTTCTCAGAGCCTATGGGACCTTCATAGTTTTCTCTTCACTGGACATGGGTGCATCAGTTATGGCTGGCTCCCTCCCCAAGCACTTTTATAGAGAGTGTGCCTGTATTTGTACCAGGAGCTCCAGGGGCTCTGCCACCCAGCCTGCAGTTAGCTGTGGTTTCTGAGATGTGAAACATAGAATCTATTTTCATCCAACTTGGCCGCAACCCAGAGGTTCCAGCCCACTGTAGCCTGATGTAACTGATGTGATTTAGGCCTGATTTACTGAATTTGTTTTTCTCCTTCTAGCCTCCTTGCTGTGGAGGATTGTTCTTCTTCTGATTTCTGGATCATATTTTTGTTTCTTTTCAGATAAAAAAACCTCAATTGTCTTTGCCCCTTCATAACTTCTCAGTTTATTCATTGCACTGGTCCTTAGTTCCCACTTCCGTCCCTGCTAATACCTTACTGGTGGCTGGTGGTCACCTTCTTCCAGTACCTTCTGTAGGTTGCACCTAATCCTGCAGCTCCTGCCCTAGGCAGTTCGGGTGGTCCCTTGTCCTCTGTTTTGCTCAACAGCTGACATCTTGCTGTTACTTAAAAGTTACATTAATTAATCCACTGTATGTGAATATATATAATGTTTTCATGAAAAATAATTATTTTCCATATTGGAAAATATTTAGTGAGAGGAGTGGCATTGTTTTACATTTTTGCAAATACCTTTAATGTCTGTTGCAATAGACAGCTGGGTTCTCCTATCTGCTTCTACATTCCATCTGTTGCAATATCATGTTGTATGGCTTCTGGAACATTCTGCTATGCTCATGAGAGAAGAGTAAGGAAAGGCAAATAGTGCCTGGTATTATGAAAATGATTTTAGGGGTGCCTGGATGGCTCAGTCGGTTCAGCGTCCAACTCTTGGTTTTGGCTGAGGTCATGATGTCAAGGTTTGTGGGATCGAGTCCCATGTTGGGCACCATGCTGGCAGTGTGGAGACTGCTGGGATTCTCTCTCTGTCTCTCTCCCTCTCTCTGTGTCCCTCCCCTCTCCAATTTGTGCACAGGCCGTCATGCTTTCTCTCTCTCAAAATAAATAAATAAACATCAAAGAAAAGAAAATGGTTTGGGCCACTTAGACCATTGAAAGGGCCTCAGGGACCCCCAGAGTTCCCAGACCACACTTTTAGTACCTATGATCTAGAGCGAGGGTCAGTAAACTTTTTCCTCAAAAACCAGATTATAAATATTTTAGGCTTAACCTATGGCATCTATTCAATTGTGCTGTATCAGGAAACAGCCATAGTATGTGTAACAAATGGATGTGACTGTATTCCCACAAAAACTTATTTACAGGAACACGGTGGGTGGAGGGAGGGGGTGGGCTGGATTTGATACGCTGTGGCCAGTGAGCCAGCTCCTGATCTACAATACCAAGCCTGCAGGTGCCCTGAGTTTAGGGCTTGTGCCACAAAAGAGGGAGAACGGTGGCATGTGACTTAGCCAGGCGCCTTCCAAAGGAAGAGAAAAGAAATTTCTCAGAGAAGACTAGATCTTGCCATTTAATTACCTAGTTCCCAAGTGGTAAATCGACGGTCTCTACCCTCTCCTTAGCCATTCCCTCTCTCATGGCCCGAGCCTCTGCCCTGCGGCTCTGCCGCTCATCAGGAAACAACGCACATCCAACTCTGGGGAAGCCGTCCTAGCATCACTGCCTCCTCCCCTCCCACCTCGTGTCCTGGGCACCTGGGCAGGCAGGAAAAGCTAACCAAGTGGGCCAGGCATCCCTCTGACTCCTGAGCTAGGCCACCTTAGTGACGTGTTGTCCTCTGTGCTTCTGTTTCCTTTCGGAGCCTCTTTCCCACATAACCCCTGTTCGCAGGGGACCAAGCTGTCTCTGGACCCGAGTCTCACCTGCCCCTTACTACTCTTGCCTACCGCATGCCCCTAGACCCGGTGGGAATAAAAAGTCTCCCAGTGAGCAGGTGTTTTCTTCCTCTGCGGCAGAGGCAAAGAACTCCTGGTTCTGGTTCGTTTGTGGATCCAAGTCTCTGACCTGACATTTCGTCTGGTTCTTCCCGTTCATGCTCCGGTCCTTCCCTTGGCTCTGCCTGCCTTCTCAGAGCCCTGTGCTGGCAACGTGGCCTGTGCTGGGTGCTCTCTGGCTGGAGGCCACGGCCTCTGGACCCCAGACTGGCCTGGGCACGAAGGAAAACAGCTTTGCCCGGATAGAGCCTGAGGCAGCCTAAGCCACTTGTATCGATGGGATGGCGCTTGTCCTTCCTCAGCCACCCTCTGCCAGCTTCATCTTCCTTTGCTGTCCTTGTGTCTACGGGGTCAGGCGCAGGAGGGGGTCTGATACTGCTGGGCAAAGGCTCGAGTCTGAGCGGGGTGGGCTGGGGCAGCCTCCATACACCTAAAACCAGCTTTCCCAGTTTCGTCCCCAGAAAAAGACTGTGCCACCAGCTTGGGAAGAAATTCATCTGCTCCTCTTCCGACCACCTTCAGACTCAACCAGGAAGACATTGCTATTTGGCTTTAAAAATAGAATATTCAAGCTGGACTTTTATGGTCTCGTGGAGAACACTGCGCTCACACCCACCCGCACCTGGTCCCTGCCCCTGCCTGGCCTCACCCAGCTGCTCAGAAGCGCTTCTGCACAAGCTCTCCAGGCCCCGCGGTGGGGACCTGGTAGATTTACGAGTTCGGCCTTGGCTGAGACCTTCTCCCCGTGGCTCCCAGCCACGGATCAGCCGCTCTCCCACATCCCATGCAGCCTGTGGCTGGCGTGTTGTGTGTCTTTTTCAGCCTCCACCCCGACTTGCTGAGTCACCCCTCAGCCCCTTTCCCCTGAGGCCCTGGCCAGCCCTGTGGAGGAGCCGTGGTTCGTCATTTCAGAGCCCAGGCCTCTGGCCACTCCCGGCCTGCCCAGAACCTCATTTAGTCTCACAGTGGCAACGGTGGCTCTAAGTCTACCCCATTCGGGGTCGGCCTGGCCCATCCCCTCCCGCTCTGAGGCACTGATGTTTAACAAAAAGCTGGTTCTGGGGGCGCCAGGGTGGCTCAGTGGGTTGGGCTTCTGACTTCGGCTCAGGTCATGATCTCCTGGCTTGTGAGTTTGAGCCTCGTGTGGGGGCTCTGTGCTGACAGCTCAGAGCCTGGAGCCTGCTTCGGATTCTCTGTCTCCCGTCTCTCTGCCCCTCACTTGCTCGTGCTCCGTGTCTCTAAAAATGAATAAATGTTAAAAAAAATTTTTTTAAAAAGCTGGTTACTTCTCTGTCTGGACTTCAGGTGCCTTTGGGTTTGAAGCTATACTTGATCTGGAAAGGAAAGTTACTTTCAGTATGTGTAGACTTCTGTGATTAGTCCTTAAGTTATTTCTTCAGAGCCAGAGAGAAATTCCACTAAAACTCTAACAGATTTCTGGCACCCCGTGGCAAGACTTAAGGAGTGCCTAGGAGGGGAGTGCCTAGGAGGGCAGCGCCTGTAAGGCACAGCTGCCTCTGGGGCAGTTGTCTGTAGCCAGATGGTAGAAATAACTCCAGAGCCAGTGAGACCTCAGGCCAAAAATCATACAAAGAACCCACTGAGCCCAGGCCTATCTTGTTTGTCCTGGAAGTTGGGTTTCTAACATAATGGAAAGAGAAGGCTGTAATTATCATCCTCTGGAAAAGATATCTGTTCTCTCTCTAAGGTCCTTCAAGGATGTAATCAGGCCCATCAATATCCTTTAGATGCAAGGTGCTGTCTGGTTCATTTCCGGTAGATAGACCTGCCTCTGGGATAAGATCGTCTCAAACTAGGCAGCTGGGACCATCTAAAAGTTTCTGTGGAAACTGGAATGCAAGCAATGTAGTTTTTTCTGGCTTAACCTGTAAGTATAAGTCATACCAAGAAAAGAGTGGAAGGTCTCGGGGCCCAGAGAGGGAGGGAATGTAGTGATGCTGGGCTGCTGGAGAGACCATCATGCGGACAAGACTCCTAAATTCCCTGCTGCTTCTTCGCCATCAGGGAAGGGTTTGTGGAGCAATAACGACAGGTCCCCGTGTCGCCAGGATCTGGCCACGTGACCCGGCCCAGTTCTATTCACACGCACATGTCTGGCCCTAGACTTTCCCACCAGCACCCGCAGCTGCTGCTGTCCTAGGCCTTTACCTCTGCACCTGCACAGCCTTGTCATTGTCCTTGCATTCTCCGAGTGTCTGTGGGAGGCTTAGGGGAGAAAAGCGGGGCGGGGGGGGGGGAGGGTGCCCTAACTCAACTTCCAACCCAGCCAAACCTCTTCCTCTCCCACTTCCCTTGCAGCTGCCACAGCAGGAGCCACTGAGAAGTCACCCCCCCATCGGGTGCCCAGATGAGCACTTGCGCCCCCCCTACCCCCGCCGGTGCTTCTGAGTCCCCTCCCATTGAAGGGCCCGCAGCTTCGCCTGGTCTGCATGCTGGAACCCGCGAGCTGAACCTGAGTCCGTCTGATCCGAGGGCTGAGAGTCAGAGTGAAGACAGGCAGGGCTGGTAGAGAATCCAAGTCTCTAAGCTCGACTTGTAGTCTAGGAGAAAAGGGCAAGTGTGATACTCATTTGTCCCCGAGAGCTGGTGAGAGTGGCTTCGTGGGAAAGAGAGCGTGTGCCTCTTCAGAGACTTGGGGCCCAGCCTCCGCCTCCTTTGTTCTTTGGCTTGAGGTGGTGACTGTGGTGGAGTCGAGGCCAGAGCTCCCCAGGCCTCCAGCATAGAGACGAGATCGCATGGGCCACTTCTGCAAGACATGGGGATGGTAAGTGAGTAACACTCACTCTTACAGCCCCTTGTAGTCCTTGGCACCCCAAACATGGCCTTCCTTAGCCCCCTCCCCGAGCCCTCCCTCATCACTGCTCTGATAGTGGTCTCGGACTCACCGCCACTTATGGCCCCATGCGTTCTCCTGACCACCTCAGCCTGGTGGCCATAAGGTGCTGTTCGAGGAGAGCAAGGGCCCTGAACAGAGCCCCCCAATAGTGGGGAGGGAGGTGGATGGTAGTGTTGGCAATGGCCAGGGGCTAGGCAGTGGGGAGGGCAGAGAACTAGGGCAAGGAGAGGTTCCTCCTGGTACTGACTGGTCCCGACCTCTTCTTTTGCCCAGCCCCCCGCCCAAGTGCCTCTGGCCACACTTATCAGTGCTGCTCTGTCCGTCTAAGACCTCCCAAGGTCACCCATTCTTCCAGCAGGAGTGTGGACAACCCCAAAAACACTAGGTTACTCTGCCCTGAGGTCTCCCCTCCTCTTGGCAGCCCCTTTACCGGGGGAGTTGAAGGGGCACTGCCCCCAGCAAACTATCCTATCCCACCAAACTGCCCAAGTTCTTGACCTAAACCAGCTCTCATCTGTTCTTTCTTCAACACATGTATCCATTACCTCCTACGTGCAAGGGCCTTACTTTGCTCATCGTTTTACAGCTAAGGAAGTGACTATGCCCCTGTCAGTATTTCAGAGTTGCCCCCACGTAGTCTCGAATTCTGGCATTTAAGCTATATTTGCATGGAAGAAAACAATCTCAAGTTTTCAAGACGTTTCAGAACTGTGTTTCAGGGAGAGAGATAGTGAAAGTATCCTCTATAAAAACAAGGTGGACCCCATCACAGGGCTGTATCTATCCTGAGAGGGCAAGCATGGCCCTTCCTCTATAACAGTTACACTCTGCAAACAGCAACTTACAGTGCCGTCCCCTTGGCCTGCCTGGTGGCTGTAAGCATGGGCTCTGAGGTCAGACGCCTTTGGGTTCAAACTGCATTTAGCCACTTACTCTCCCTGAGATTCGATTTCCTCACTTAGAAAGTGATCCTCATTTGGTTCTTCTGCGCACTAAAAGGTAGAGATGGCCAAAGCGCTAAGCCCAGCTCCTGACATCACTTTAGCACCCAAGTGATGTTATTGCCGTTATTGCGATGGTGAATATTGTTAATTATACTTTTCATTCATGATCTCGTTTCATGCCCCGGAAGGAGAAATAAGGCTCACGTCCTCTTCCCTTTCACATCTGATAAAACCGAGGCTCCGAAAAGGTAGGTCCTGGTCTGGGGAGGTGGTGCATGCAGGAGGCACCCCCCAAACTCCTCCCCAACCCCAGCTCAATTGCTTCTAGAATGAGGCTTTCTCAGACCTTGTTCTCCCAGAGGGGGATCCCTCCTACGGCAGAAGTCCAGGGGACACCAAGGCGTTGTACGAAGGGGTGGTGTGCCCTGGAATCTAGGGCTTTCCTGGTGCGGTTTCCTTTCCCAGGCCCCAGCCCCGGAAACCGCTCCTTTCTCTCCCCTGCCGCTAGGCACCCCAGAGTCCTGGGACTCTGTGAATCTCCCTCCTCTTGGAGGAACCGCATTTTCGTGAAGTCAGTTCCAATCACCACCCCCACTACACCCAAGGTCAGCGCAGTCCCAAGAGCCAGCCTTGGCTCCTCTCCCTCCGAGAGAGCAGGAAGCAGCTGGTCCCAGTGTCAGCTCTGCTCAGGGCCGGGGGCCTAAGCCCAGTCCATCCCAAACCCCACCCCCTGAGGCCCTGAGCTCGTGGCCTACCTTCAGAGGGTGCAGGTAGCGGAGTCCACGCAGGAAGGGTGGCCAGGCGGGGCCAGGCAACTCCCGACCAAGTGTGCGGGTGAGGTGGGCTATGTAGCTGGCGGCCAGCACCAGCACATCCAGCTTGGAGAGCTTGGTGTCAGGGGGCACGGCGGGCAGAGCGGCCTGCAGGGCCAGGAAGGCCTGGCGCAGCGTCCTCACGCGGCTCCGCTCCCGAGCAGCGTTCTCGGGACTGGCCTCGCTCTGCAGAGAGGACCCCAGGTCAGTGGGTCTGACTGGATCCCCATCTGCCCCTGGTTTCTAAGAACGTTCTAGAGTGAGCAGCCATGCGCCGGACAGCAGAGACCCGAGGGCCTCACGCTGTCTCTGTGCACTCTCAGTCCTGCCCTGCTTTATGGCTGAGGAAATGGAGAGAGGGTCTCACTTGGGGTCAGATGGCAGCTCAGAAGCTGAGAGTCCTTTACTCTTCCTAACGCTCTAGCCCTTGCTGTACCCACGGCCCAGTCTGAATCCTGCTGTCGGGGTGCCCTGGGCCCGCAGGGAGCACAGAGCCACCCCTGCTCTGCAGGGCTGATCCTTGCCCAGCCAGGTCCTGACATGAAGAGGCAGCTACAGCAGAGAAGGAAAAAGGAGCTCTCTGAGCGGCGCTCTGGGTAAGACCAGCTCGGTTATCCCAACCACCCAAGTGTGGAGCCGTGGAGTCCCGGGTGCCAGTGTCCCCCTCTTGGAAAGGGACGGTCATACCGAGTGAGGCTTTGCCAGCAGAGGTGATGCCTCAGCCCCTCCCCTCCTGCCTCCCCGCTCCCTCCACAGGGCCAGTGATTCCTTACCCTGCCGGGGGCCCTGGCCCCTCTTAAGCTGGGGGCAGCTCTGCTCCACATCTGGTCCCTCCAGTTTGTCTCTTCCCACAGGTCCTGCCTTGTCCCGCACGGGCGGCTCCTCTTCCTGCCAGTGCCTGCCGCCAGCCGCAGCTTGGCCTTTGCCGGGGTCTGCCCCACTCCTGGCATGGCTGGTGGCCTTCTGACCTCCTTCCGTGACATGCCACACCCCTGGAGGGTGGTGCTGCGGCCCCTAGGACGGGAGCACAGTGCCTGAGGGAGCCCCCCGGGCTCGGGCTAACTGGGCAGGCTGGTCACCCAGCCGACCATGTCTGTGTCTGAGGGAGCTGGCGCCAAGTCAGTCGCGCTTCACTCCTTGCTCTGGGAAAACCGCCCACCCGGCACAGCCCCCGCGAGAAGCCTCCTGCCTGCCTGCCTGCCTGCCTCCCACCCGGCTCCGGGGTGGGGGTACTGGATGTTGGGAGTGGCCAAGTCTTGGGAGGAGGCCCCCCCCCTCCGCTCCAGAAGGCCGGAGGATGGTGGGAAGGGAGCTCCCTTCGCGGAGACTTGCCTGACCCCGCAGTAGTCTTGCGATGGTCGCCCGACTCCAGCTTTGAGGCTCAAGCCAATGGAAGGGCCCCGAACCTCCTCCTCTGCCAGGAGGGTGCCTGCACACATCCCTAAAAGGACCTTTCCTCCCCTTGCCAATGACCTGACCTTCCAGCCCCGGGGCACTAATCCCCATCCCCCCAAGCAGGCCTCCTATTTCCAACCTAGTGCTTTTCCATCCCCTGGAATATCTTCCTCCAGCTCTGCCAGGGAAAAGCTGCCTTCGCCTGTTGGGTTATGCCCTTCGTTTGTGAAGATTTCTTCAAACCCCACAGAGCAGAGAGCCCATGTCTCCCTGTTTCATGGGTATTCTAACTGATGCGTGACCGACCACACCCTGGCTAGTTTCCTCAAAGCTCGGTGCGTTTAGGTCACTCTGGGTCAGGCACTGTGCTAAGTACTTTATACGTATTCTCTTATTTATTTCTCAGGACAAACTTCTAAGAAAAAGAGACTCTTACATCCCCATTTTACAGATGGGAAAACCGGTATCAGGAGGTGACGCAACTCACCCAGCGTCAAACATCTAGTAAGTGACGGGGTTGGGATGAGAGCCCAGGCAGCCAGGTGGACTTGGAAGGTGGCCCCACGCCCTGTGGTGTTCTGCCTTGGGTGGGTTACGCACATGTCTTCCCATCCTAACGAGAGGTCTTTGTGGGTTTTCTTTCTCTCTTTCTTTCTTTCTTTCTTTCTTTCTTTCTTTCTTTCTTTCTTCTTTCTTTCTTGTAAGACATAGAGAGACAGAGCATGAGTGGGCAAGGGGCAGAGGGAGGAGACACAGAATCGGAAACAGGCTCCAGGCTCTGAGCTGTCAGCATAGAGCCTGATGTGGGGCTCAAACTCACGAACCGTGAGATCATGACCTGAGCCGAAGTTGGACGCTTAACCAATTGAGCCACCCAGGCGCCCCTCTTTGTGGTTTTTTTTAAACATTTATTTACTTATTTTGAGAGAGAGAGAGAGAGAGAGAGAGAGAGTGAGCAGAGGAGGGGCAGAGAGAGAGAGGGAGAGAGAGAATCCCAAGCAGACTCTGCGCTGTCAGCTGGGGAGTCCAACACGGGGCTCCATCCCACAAACTGCGAGATCATGACCTGAGCCGAGATCAAGAGTCGGACGCTTAACCGACTGAGCCACCCAGGTGCCTCTGTTTTATAATCTTAAGAGTTTATTATGAACTAATTTCACAGGCCAAAAGGAAGTAAAAGGACCATGTACAGCCTTTCAGGAAATAGCGAGGGAACTTATAGGGGCCATGATGAGTCTAGGGTCTTGGTGGGTGTATTCCCAGGGGAGGGGCCCTTGCTTTGCAGGGGAGGGGGCCCACATCCCCAGAGGGCTATGCCCACTGAAGTTCCTCGTCCAGGGGCGATCCCCACTGGGGGACCCATGGGAGGTCTCATGCCAGGTGGTGGGCCCATCATGCCCGGAGGGGGTGCCCCTTGGCCCATAGGTGGGGGAAGACCTCCACGGCCAGGCAGACACTGGTTTGGGTCCCCTGTAGTGCTGGCTGTATCAGCAGCTGCAGTGGCTGTCACCGTGCCTCTTCCTTGCGGGGTCACCACCTGTTGGGTGCCCCACCAGCCCCTCTGACTGGTCCAGCAAGTCCTGTAGGAACCTGGGGCCCTGGAACACCAGTTGGATTCCTCTGACAGCAGCTCTGCCTGGACCCCCGGCAGCTCAGCAAGTGGCACTTGGGCAATGCCAGTATCTTTGGGAGGAAGTCCCTCTACTATCGTCTGAGACCAGGCTTTCCCCTCCAAAGCAGTATCTCTTCTCTTTCTGCTTACGTTGAGTTCTTTGGCTTGATCTTTCTGAACTCATCACAGTCGCAGAGGATTGAATTCGAATGCTTGTTGAGTCTTGAAGGTGTGAACGAAGATACGGCCATCTTGCAGGAGACACCTCATCCTGCAGTCAATGTGCTGCGGCACCTTGCTGTTCTTGCCCACAGGCATCATAGTGATGGTTCTGATGGATCCGATTCCCGCCGGATTCCCCTCGGCACAGGCCTAGACACCGCCCGGTAACCCATTTCCCGCTGCCACTACCGGAAGTCCAATCCTCTGTTTTTAAGCCCCTTCTTCTGACTTGCTGCAGGATGCCCCACAGTGCGCACCCATCACATTTTGATCACCCAGAGACCCCGGGATGGACATCCAGATTGCTGCCAACTCATCATCACCCCAAAAATGCCATCATGATACCATTGCACGTGTCCTTGTGGATCTATGCAAGATTGACAAAACAAAACAACACAGGTCTGGGACCAGAATGCTGGGTTAATCGACTAAGTGTTGCCAGAGCGCCATCATCCGGAACAGTTGCCGAGTCAGCACTGCCCAGGACCCTAGAGCCCCACGGGCTCACCGCCACCTGATATTAACCACATTCCCAGTTTTATGGGGGGAGAGCTATAAAGGGCTGCTTTCATTTGCCTTTATCTGATAACTGACAAGTTCAAGCATCCTGTGTGTGGTGCTTGGTAGAGATTGCACTTTATTTTTCTCCATATAGGGAGCCGGTTTTATTTTCTCCCTATAGGGAGACTGTTATCCCAACATCATCTGCTGAACAGTCCATTCTCTCTTCCTGTTCAGTTGTAGCTCCCACTTTATTATATGCTAAGTTCCCATATTCGTATAAAAGCCGATTTCTGAGTTCTCTATGCTGTCCTGCTGATCTTTTTGTCTGTGTTTGAGCTAACAGCACACTGCTTTTATTGTTCTGACTTGATAGCATGTCTTACTACTTGGAATGATAAAACTCTCCTCTTTACTCTTATTTTGGAAGGTTGATTTAGTTATTTCTGGACCCTTATTTTTCCATATAGATTTTAGAGAAAACTCATTGGGTTCCTATAAAATTCAACTGAAATTCTGATTGAGATTTTGTTGAGTAAATGAGCTAACTGGGGGAATATTGCCATCTTTATACTTTTGAGTCAATCCTTCCCAAAACATGAAATGTCTCTCATTTTATTTTATTTTTTAATGTTTCTTTTTCGAGACAGAGAGAGACGGAGCCTGAGTGGGGGAGGGGCAGAGAGAGGGAGACACAGAATCCGAAGCAGGCTCCAGGCTCCAGGCTCCAGGCTCTGAGCTGTCAGCACAGAGCCCGACGCGGGGCTTGAACTCACAGATTGCGAGATCATGACCTGAGCCAAAGTCGGACACTCAACCAACTGAGCCACCCAGGCACCCCTCTCATTTTGTTTTAAACATCTATATCCTTTATTAATTGCATAGTTTACTCCATGAAGGTCTGTGTATTCTTGCTTCAGTGAAATAGCTCACAGTTTTGTTGAACTAATTAGTTCACAGTTTTTGTTGCTCTTGCAAATGCTTTTGTTTTATTCTGTTTTCTAGTTGATGATGGCTGCTGTACAGAAATGCTCGTTAATGTTTGTCTTGAATCCAGCAACCCTGCTGAGCTTTCTTATTAGTCTTAAAACTCTGTTGCTTCCATTGGCTTTTCCGAGTAGATACAAAATGACAGTTTTATTTCTTCCTCTCAATCTTTACACTTGTTTCTTTTTCTTTCCCTAGAGCATTGGCTTGTGCTTCCAACACTACATTAACAGGAAATAGTGGTAGCTGGCACTGTTTTCTTACCCTAACCCTCCACTGAACGTATCTAGAATTTCTCCATTGAGCATACTATTTGCTGTAGGCTTTTGATATATAACTTTTAGCAAGTTGAGGACATATCCTTCTATTCCTTGTTTGCTAAGAGGTTTTTGGTAGTTTTTTATTATTATTATTCTAACTAGGTGTATAACTTATCAGATGCTTTTCCGCCATCAGCTGAGATACAATCATGATTTTTCTCCCTCAGTCTATGAATATGTTAAATTATTTTGTTGTATTTTCTTTTTATTATATGTTTATTTACTTTTGACAGATAGAGTACTAGTGGGGAGGGGCAGAGAGTGAGGGGGACAGAGAAGGCTCCATGCTGTCAGCACAAATCCCGACGTGGGGCTCAAACAAACCATGAGATCATGACTGTAGCCAAAGTCGTTGCTCAACCAACTGAGCCACCCAGGCACCCCAAATTATTTTGTTGTATTTTCTGATGACAAATCTTGCTTGAGTTCCTGTGGTAAGTCTCATCTGCTTGTGATTACTTTTTAAAAAATATACTTTCTGCTTCGTATAATTAATATGTTGTTTAGAATTTTTACAGCCATCTCATAAGTGAAATGAGATTCTAATTTTCTTTTAACTGTCATTATTTGGTTTTGGTATCAAGGTTACACTAACTTCATAAAATGAGCTGGGTAGCTCTCCCTTTTATTCTATTTTCTTTTTTTTTTAATTTAAAAGTAAAAGTATTTTTTTTAAGTTTATTTATTTATTTTGAAAGAGAGCATGAGTAGGGAGGAGAGGCAGAGAGAGAGAGAGGGAGAGAGAATCTTAAGCAGGCTGCATGCTCAGCACAGGGCCCAGTGTAAGGCTCGAATTCACCACCATGAGATCATGATCTGGGCTGAAACTAACAGTCGGATGTTTAGCTGCTCTTATCCTATTGTCTGAAACAACTTTAAAAAAAAATTTTTTTGGGGGGCGCCTGGGTGGCGCAGTCGGTTCAGCGTCCGACTTCAGCCAGGTCACGATCTCGCGGTCCGTGAGTTCGAGCCCCGCATCAGGCTCTGGGCTGATGGCTCAGAGCCTGGAGCCTGTTTCCGATTCTGTGTCTCCCTCTCTCTATGCCCCTCCCCCGTTCATGCTCTGTCTCTCTCTGTCCCAAAAATAAATAAACGTTGAAAGAAAAAAAAAATTAAAAAAAAAATTTTTTTTTGTTTATTCATTTTTGAGAGACAGAGAGAGACAGAGCATGAGTGGGAAAGGGGCAGAGAGAGGGAGACACAGAATCCGAAGCAGGTTCCAGCCTCCGAGCTGTCAGCACAAAGCCCGACGTGGGGCTCGAACTTATGAACTGTGAGATCATGACCTGAGCCAAAGTCGGACGCTCAACTGACTGAGCCACCCAGGCACCCCTGAAACAACTTTTTACATAATATAGAAATTAACTCTTTTTTGAAGTCTGGTAAAACTTGTAAAACCACTAGGACTAGTTTTCTTTTGGTGAAGAGGGGAAGAAATTTTAACTTTCATTCAATTTCTTTGGCTTCTTATTGACTGATTGAAGTGCCTGTTCCTTTTCAATACTTAGTATTTTATATTTCTTTGAATTTAGCCATTTCATTAAGGAATTCTAACACTGTAATGAACAAAATGCTTTTAGAAACGTATCTCCAAGGAAATGAGAAAAAAACAAACGTTCTATCCAGAAGAAATTTTCTTCAAAAAATCTAAGCATTCCTGAGCCCTGAGAACAGTGTAGAACTCTGAGAATGGCCAGTTTGCCCAAGAACAACACTTGGCCCACAAAATGGGCATGACCTTGGATCTCTGGTAAAACCCAAAGCTTCAGAGACTCTAACAGGCCAACAGTTCTGTGGCTGGACTGCAAGGCTAAGACTGATGTGAAACATCTCCAAGATCTGCACAAAAGACCCACACCTTC